GTTTTCAAGGAGATTAGCATCCAAGGTCTCAAAACTTTAGCAGTGCAGTTAAGATAAATTGGAAACTTTGCAGGCAATATCTGAAAGTGAGAAAGGCATGAGCAGCCATGCTTCTTCCCATTCCCAAGTGCTTTTTCTCATCATAATATTTACCGTTCATATAGTCAAGATAACCGCGACCCATTGGATCATTGTTTCAGAGATACTTCTTTATCTAAACAGAGAAAGGAAATACCCGTGGGTGGTCTACATTGCAGTGAGAGTGCAAGCAACTTCCTGCCAGATTCCCAATTGACTTGTCTTAAGGGAAACTGGCAGGGAGAATTGACAGTGACAATCTCATGACCGCAGATGGGCTTGGCAGCTCTGAAGTGACTATAACCTTGCCAAATTTCAATCCCAGAAGAATCTTGGGCCCCAGATTTTGGATACATTAAGTTAGCCCATTTTTCATTTAGTCATACTTATTTACGCATATCATACATGGACTTGTAATATATATTAACATTTCATCTAGATATAAATGTTAAAAGAACCTATGTTCAAATTCCAATGTCTCTCTAAGCCATCTAACCATTGAAGCGCAGCATTGTTTATATTAAAAAAAAATCAGATACTGGACTGGTATATGACCTCAGCTCACAACTGGTCACAATGTGATCTATAGTTTTGATGTGGGACAGTCACACTGAAGAAAGGATACTATGCTAGTTTTTTAAAATATATATACATAGCAACGAAAACGCTGATTTAAAAATTGTTGCCCTATGATGCGTCTTTTTGCCCAGTTGAAGGTTACAAATAATGAAACAGACACGAGAGATTTAGTAGTATGTAGAGTTTAGAATGTTCAGGTTCTTTATAGACATTTGTTCCTTTTTAAAACCATATCTTCAGTACGTAACACATGCATAAATAACTTGATGGTATTATAACTACAGCTCTTCTGAACCCCAGCTACATAATAGAATGAACCAATCCCTTCTTAGCCTATTTAACACTTCTCCTAGTTTCATTGTACATAGATCTCCATTATACCAATAAAAGGTTTTCTACCTAGTGGCTTAATGGCAGGCCAAGATACAAACCTCAAAGACTTTTGTCATTGACCGTTCTTATAGCTCTTAAGAGGTGCTTAACAGATGCTTAACCAAGCATAATTCTCTCTTTGAAAAACTTCTGCCTGCGCATAGATTATCCTTGATCTTTATGAAGTTTGCTTTGTATCCTCCACAGTTCAGGGTGTTCTTTCTAGTGAATTTCCTCCAAGACATTTCAGTGCCTTGGAAACACTTCTATTTTGTGAACCAAGAATTAGAAACCCTTCAGATAAATTCAGTTTCTTAAGAAATACATTATGTTCACACACATATATACCGTGTTTCCCAGAAAATAAGACCCAACCGGAAAATAAGCCCTAGCATGGTTTTTCTGGATACTCTTAATATAAACCCTAACCCCAAAATAAGCCCCAGTTAAGATCGTCAGCCACATAGACGCATTTAGTACCGTATTTCCCCAAAAATAAGACCTAATCGGAAAATAAGTCATAATGTGTCTTTGGAGCAAAAATTAATATAAGACCCGGTCTTGTTTTTGGGGAAACATGGTATATATTTGTAAATTTCAACCCTCAATTTAGTAATAGATAACTTTTACTTTATGTTTATGGTGGAGGGACATGTCCAATTACAAAATGACTGCCATAATAGCATGCCAGTCACAAATCAAAAAGCCAAATTAATTTAAATGCGCAGATCTGTGAACACAATATTGAGTGTGGGAAAATCAGTTCTTAGATGAGTAGAATTGATTAAATGATGATGTATAGAGATATAAGGCTACAGTTTGATAAATTAGAATAATCCCATTGCAAGGGGAAATATTTTTCTTTTGGTGTCTGGCATTCCCAAATTGCCCCCTCCTCTTTATTTATGGGAGATATTTCCCTCCTTGTTTTATTGCTTTATTTTCCCTCTTTTTAGTTTCTGAAGGAAAACAGCGCAGAAAGTGGCCAAAGGTCCATTATTTTAGTAACATAAAGTACCTATTAATGTGTTGTTTATGCATTAGTTTCTCCAGTCTTTCTGAGATGTATAAATATGAGTGGATGGGACTTCTCTCAATATTCTTTGGAGAGAGTCTCACTAGCACATGTTTTTTTTTAATAAACACTGCTGTAAACCTTGATTTATTTATTTTGGGATCTGTGTTTGATTCCACATGGGGACTCCTGTTTATGAAGTCTTTGTCCCCCAATCTCCACATCTACAATTTCCAAACTGAAAATTAAAAGAGATTGTTTGTCTAATTAACACCAATCAAGCAGAAAACAATACCCTAAAATAATCAGTGGTTCTCAACCTGTGGGTCGCAACCCCTTTGGGGGTCGAACGACCCTTTCACAGGGGCCACCTAAGACCATCAGAAAACACATATTTCCGATAGTCTTAGGAACCGAGACACCGCTCCTCTATCCGTCTCCAGGCAGGTCTGCCCACATGCAGATATGCCCACATACGAGTACCTGGCGTGATGACATCGCGCCAACCCCATCACATACACCCCGTACAAATACAGGTGTATGTGACAGGGTTTGGCGCTATAATGTACTTATGCGGACCAGTCACACATGTGTAGAGAGCAGCTACTGTGTTGAAAGCAGCAGTATTGGAGGTAAAATGACACTTCATGAATTATAATTACTGGGTAAATGTAAAATCATGTACTGTAAAATCATCAACTACTGCAAAAAAAAATTGTACCATGGGAACTTAATCTGGATGCTGATCGGTCTTTTTATATTCAGCTGTGGTTGATGTGAATACTGCCCCCTTGTGATAGTAACAGGTATGTAAAAAAAACAACACAGAGAATGGTAAATCATAGGAAACTTTAATGAACTATATTGACTGAACTATGCCATGTATCATCTTTTGTATTATTAAAGCTATTGTTATATATTATTTTCATTAGCAAACCATCCCATGACAATGGATCGTGTAGAGAAGAACGTTAAGAAAAGAAAATATAGTGAGGATTTTTTACAGTATGGTTTTACCTCAATAATTACAGCAGGAATTGAGAATCCGCAATGTGTTATTTGTTGTGAAGTTCTGTCAGCCGAATCTATGAAGCCAAACATACTAAAATGCCATTTTGATAGCAAGCATCCGAGCTTTGCCGGCAAGGATACCAACTATTTTAGAAGCAAAGCTGATGGACTCAAGAAAGCCAGACTTGACACTGGTGGCAAGTACCACAAACAAAACGTAGCAGCCGTTGAAGCTTCATATTTGGTGGCACTCAGAATCGCCAGAGCTATGAAACCTCACACCATTGCTGAGGATTTACTGTTACCAGCAGCCAAAGACATTGTTCGAGTTATGATCGGAGACGAATTTGTTACGAAATTGAGTGCAATTTCCTCTTCTAACGACACTGTCCGCAGAAGAACAGATGACATGTCTGCTGATATTCTTGATCAGGTAATCCAAGAAATTAAATCTGCTCCACTTCCAATATTTAGTATCCAGCTTGATGAATCTACAGACGTTGCAAACTGTTCACAGTTACTGGTTTACGTGAGGTATATTAATGATGGCGACTTTAAAGATGAGTTTCTTTTTTGCAAACCTCTTGAAACTACAACTACTGCACGTGATGTATTTGACATAGTTGGTTCATTTCTGAAAGAGCATAAGATCTCTTGGGAAAAGGTTTGTGGTGTTTGCACAAATGGTGCTCCAGCTATACTAGGATGTCGATCTGGATTTCAACGTTTGGTACTGAATGAGGCACCAAAAGTCATCAGAACTCACTGTATGATTCATTCTCAAATATTAGCAACAAAGACGCTGCCACAAGAGTTACAAGAAGTTATGAAAAGCGTCATAAGTTCTGTCAATTTTGTAAAGGCGAGCAGTTTAAATAGTCAACTGTTTTCGCAACTGTGCAACGAGTTGGATGCGCCGAACAATGCTCTGCTATTTCACACTGAAGTGAGATGGTTGTCGAGAGGAAAAGTTTTAAAACGTGTTTTTGAGCTTCATGATGAACTCAAAACGTTTTTTAATCAGAAAGCAAGCCCGCAGTTCGAAGCACTTTTCAGCGATAAAAGTGAACTGCAGAAAATAGCTTACTTGGTTGACATCTTTGCCATCTTGAATGAGTTAAATTTATCACTGCAAGGACCAAATGCAACGTGTCTCGATTTGTCTGAAAAGATCCGATCATTCCAAATGAAACTTCAGCTTTGGCAAAAAAAAATGGATGAAAATAAAATTTACATGTTGCCTACCTTATCTGCTTTCTTTGAGGAACATGACATTGAACCAGACAAAAGGATTACGATAATAATTTCTGTGAAAGAACACTTGCACATGCTTGCAGACGAAATTTCATCGTACTTTCCAAATCTACCTGACACCCCATTTGCACTTGCCAGAAGCCCATTCACAGTCAAAGTTGAAAATGTTCCTGGGACAGCACAAGAGGAGTTCATTGACCTTATTAACAGCGATGCAGCGAGAACTGATTTCTCTACAATGCCAGTTACAAAATTCTGGATCAAGTGTTTGGAATCATATCCTGTTCTGTCTGAGACTGTGTTGCGCCTTCTTCTTCCATTTCCAACAACATATCTTTGTGAAACAGGGTTTTCCAGCTTGTTGGTTATCAAGTCTAAATACAGAAGTAGAGTTGTTGTGGAAGATGATCTTCGTTGTGCTCTTGCAAAGACTGCCCCGAGAATTTCTGATCTGGTGAGAAAGAAGCAATCTCAACCTTCGCACTGACGTTGGCTTTTTACGCATACTGTCGCAAAATGTAGCAATGTAGTTTACTGTTGTTATATTAAGACTGCTATACCATGCTTCAAGACAAAATTTCATTTATTTGTAATTAGAAGTAAATGTTTCACAATATATAATTACATATTGTTTTTGTGATTAATCACTATGCTTTAATTATGTTCAATTTGTAACAATGAAAATACATCCTGCATATCAGATATTTACATTACGATTCATAACAGTAGCAAAATTACAGTTATGAAGTAGCAACGAAAATAATTTTATGGTTGGGGGTCACCACAACATGAGGAACTGTATTAAAGGGTCGCGGCATTAGGAAGGTTGAGAACCACTGTCTTAGACATTCTCTTAGAAATTATCCAGGGATCTATCGGAACTGCCATCTCCGATCTGCTTCCCTGTAGGTTGAATTACAGCTGCAGAATTCTCAGCAGATCTGTATTTTTGGTGCACCAAATTAAGGACAATGGTACTTGGGAAATCTGGGTCTGTATTCTAATCTAACTGAACCTGCCTGAAGGTGCACTTTTGTGAGTGTACCTGGCAGATAGACTGATTGTGTTGGTTAATCAGGTGGGGTTTGGGTTTCTCTTTTGAGGATTCCATCTGTGTAATTCTTACTCTTAATAACTGCAAATTGACCAGTAGTACATTAACTGATATGCTTGACTTTGATTGCTGTTATTACAGACTAAAGCAAAATGAATGAGCATCCAAAGAAAAGGAAAAGGAAGACTCCGCATCCTTCACGCTACTCAGGTAAATCAAATGTAGCTATATTTGCTCATTTCAGTTACTATAAATTGCATTTTCTTCTGAATGTATCTGTTAAACTTTCCAGAAGCTAGATTTTTTTAGATGAGATTGGTTAACCAAAAACTGAATTCTTAAAATTCTGTGTAGTCTGTCTCATTGTTACTGTCAACGCTGCAAATACTGTATATTCTTGCTTTGACAATATGCAGAACTGTCTGGTATTTTTAGGGTTAATGCAGAGCAGAAGAGGGTGGGGGGGAAAGCCTGGGAAAGAAAGAGGAAGGAAACCTTTGACCTTCACACTAATTGGATAAAGTGATATATGACAGCTAATTTAGGGAGGGAACATGCTGATAATTTAACTGCTCAGAGGAAGAGAATTTCAGATCTTAGTATCAACTTTCCTTATGCCTGTGCCCACATTTGTAACAATAAATTACTTTTAGGAAAATCAATGCCTGGAAGTTCTTTGAAGTGTTTCATTAGCTGGAACCATAACAGTTACATTATATAAATACAGGACAAAGTAACTGATTTCAGTAGAAATGTTGATGTCTGTATCCTTGAATGTAAAGATTGAAGATACATTGGATATCATCTAGCTCAGGGGTAGGCAACCTGGGCTCTTTTATGACTTGTGGACTTCAACTCCCAGAATTCCTGAGCCAGCCATGCTGAGGGGAAAGGGAGAGGTTTCCAAGCTGAGCCATGCTGGCTCAGGAATTCTGGGAGTTGAAGTCCACGAGTCATAAAAGAGCCAAGGTTGCCTACCCCTGAACTATAGTCTCAGGAGAAGTAACTATTAGCCTTCTCGACATTGGTCTGCAATTCTGTAATATTGGGAGTAAATCTCACTAAAGCCTGTTGAACTTATTTTTAAGCAAATCTATTAAGGATTGCACTATATTCTCTTAACATCAAATAATTTAGCAATAGGAAAGTTAAAAATGTTGATACAGATGTCAAGAAATAACTTCCATCAGATATTTAAGTTCATGATTTTGTCTTTTTTTCTGTCTTAGATTCTTCAGGAATTCCAAAATACATAGATAATAGTGGCATATTTTCTGACCATTGTTACAGTGTCTGTTCCATGAAACAGCTAGACCCAAAAGTTCCTGATAACCGAGGTAAAGATTAGCATTTCACAGATTCATTCGTAGGTGTATTTTTGAGCAGGTTGCCTGTCTTCTTGTACATATTCTGAAAGATTTAATGGTATTCTACACAATATTCCATTTATAGCCTAGGTACAACCAAAAATGTGATGAAAATCATAAAGTTAAGAAATAGATGGTGTAATTAGATTTTAAAAAATAACTTTTGATGTGTATGCTGTTCATTTAACATTTGTGTGCATTTGTGTTTGACAATGATTTTCTGTACAAAGGAAAAGATAAAAAGCGAATGCAAAATCTACAAGGACATTAGTTTGTTATATGCTTAAGAATGTGCACCCAATTTTTTACCAAAAGCTCACAACAGATGTTAATTTGCAAAATTGTGGGTGGTGTACTCTATTTTAATGTTGAATATAATATGTTCAGAAGAGATTTTTATATATGCAAGTGAAAAAGAAAAGTTTACTTCATGCTTGATGTTTAAAATTTATGATAAGATGAAAAGGCATGAAATGTAGAGTGATTTATGAAAATATGTTTGCTTGATGAATGAGATAAAGTGCTATATATAATGGAATTAAAACTTGGAGTTAGTTAAAGCTACTTGTGCTGTCATGGTGTGTTATGATTGCACAAGGCAACAGCTGGCAATTCCATTTTTATAGGCAGCTACCTATTACTGATATAGGTGACTTCAGAAACATTTGACAGGATTACTATTATTTTTGAAAGAACTTCTGCCTCTGAGTAAAGATGGGATTTCAGATAACCAGTTCAGATTAGTATGTTAAAATTACTGATATAGGTGACTTCAGAAATGTTTGACAGGATTACTATTATTTTTGAAAGAACTTCTGCCTCTGAGTAAAGATGGGATTTCAGATAATCAGTTCAGATTGCTATGTTAAAATATGCACTGGAAATTTAAATGTTTAAGGGAACAGTAATGTTTTAAAACATTTGGTCATGTTATATCATCACGTACTATGCATGACATAATAAATATGGGCAAGAGTATTTTAAACAAAACATACAAGTTTGTGAGAAGCAGGCATAGCTTAGTAGACTTTCCCAGTGTCTGGAGTCATTCTGTCAGTACAGAGAAATAATTTTAGCTTTTTAAAATTTTACTACAGTGTACTCAAGTAGAAGGAAGTCATATTATTTGTTATCAGTCTTTTAACAAGGTATGAAAACAAGCTCTGAATTGCTGTGAAAAAGTATGAACTGAATTAAGGGGCTAACACCAGAATACCCTGGGTTGTGTGCTGAGTGGATCTCTATATAAATTGGTTAAAATAAACAGAATAATCTTTTTCTTCTCAGGTCGATTTCATAACACGGCGCCTAGTACAGATGCCGATGAGGATGGCAGCCAGGTGTATGCTGGGACATCTCAGTGGAGTGGGATCCAGTCTAATGTTCCGGGGACGCATTTGATGGACCCTAAGAAAAAAGGTAAAGGAAAAGTGATTGTGTCAATTCTCATTTACTCTCCCTATTAATAATAATACCAAAATGAGACAGGGGAAAAGATGTCAAGCCCCTTTCTGAACATTAAAAGTTTGGAACCCGAGAGCCTAGGTGCATTGTAGTCATTAGAACAAAGATAGTTCCTCTCATGCCCTCCAGATGTTTGGGACTGTAAATCAGAATCATTTGCTACTGGCCTTGTTCCCAGAGCAGATGGGAGTTGTATGTAGGACTATATAGAATAGACATGTCAAACACAAGGCCCGGGGGCCGGATGCGGCCCGCGAAGTGGTTTCATGTGGCCCACGAAGCCATCCTGGAAACAGTGAGGGAACGGCCCCCTCTGCCTTGGCCCTGAATTCTACTTGGCCCAGGCCGGCCGGGAGCCAATGTACAATTTTGTGGTGGCCATCTATGCTGAAATGCATTCAGTCTTAGCTCCACAAGGCCGTCTGGAAACAGCGAGGAACCAGACCCTGCCACGTTGGCCCCGCCCCCTGGGTGCATGCTGGGGAGGTGTCACCCTTTGTGAGGAATGAAGAAATGGACCATGCTTTGGCGCTTGCCCCAGTCCCACCCCCTTCTGCCAGACACCCTCAGATCTGTCCCACTCCTGCCCAGGCCCCCACAGGCACCCTTGACGCGAATGATGTAGAGCTGGTCACGCCCACCCAGTAGGCCACACCCACCCAGTAGGCTGCACCCACCCTGGCCACACCCACTCGGCCCCCTAAGGGCAACCGCAATGCTGATGCGGCCCTCAATGAAATTGAGTTTGACATCCCTGATATAGAATATAAGAAAGCTATCTTCAGTTTCTTAATGAAAGAGTGGAATAAAAATATGCACCTCTTTAAGATTTATTCAGGTATAGTTCAGATGAGTTCAGTAGAACTGATAAAATAAATATGCAGAGAATTGCCATGGTAGTGATCCAACAAAAATAATGGTATTTGCACATTTTTATTTTCTATCATAGCATTCAGTATCTCTTACTACTTATTCTTAGGGAGATTGGGTGCTCTTTTTCTTTTTCTCAGGAAGACAATTAAAGTCTGTCCCCTGGTGGTGGTGGTTTTGGTAAAAATTTACTCGATAAATTAAAATTTAAAAATATAATTCTTTGTTAGTTTGGTCTTGGCTCCTTTTTGCAGATAAAAACAACAATAACGGCATTTTTAAAGATTCGTGCGAGTCCCCTATCTTCAGTGACAGTTTAACAGAAGAGGAGAAACCTTTGGATATTCAAACTGTAGAGATCTCCACTACTGAAGTCCAGGCTGTAGAGGTCCACGACATTGAAACTCAGACCATTTCCCCTGAGAAGCTTGAAGCAGAGGATGCAGAGCAAATCCCTTTTGCAAGTTGCAAAGGGCTTGACAAAAACCCTCCTTTGAACGTCATCATTCCGCCCAAATGGCCCCTGCTCCGGGCAAACAGCAGCGGTTTGTACAAATGTGAACGATGCACATTTAACAGTAAATATTTCTCGGACCTGAAGCAGCACGTGGTTCTAAAGCATAAAACCTGCCCTGAGGGCAACATCTG